AGGCATGGCCCAACATGCAGGTCGTATGCGGCCTGCGATTAATCTTTTAATATTAGCTACTCAAGTCAGAATAGATAGGTGAAAATTCTAACGCCTAAAAAAAAAGTCAACAACTCTCTGTCCATTTAGAGTTAACCATCCATTACAAATCTCTTAAGAACAGCATAGAACATTGATAAAACATGATACATTTTTCACATTATCTATAATCTCTATGTACAATTTAATCTCTATGGGGTGACACCACAATGAGATCTCGCACCACCTCAAAATCTTCCTAGGGCAGCCTCTGGTTTGGCCCGTGAAAAACTTTTCTTTCCAATTCGGCCTAGGGGCAAAAACTGTTGGCCACCCCTGGTATATACCTTCAGAAAACTACTGGATGATCAATAAAACCAACCCCACCATATATCCCCTACACCTCCAGTGCAGTTTTTGTTATCACATCCTTCATTGTAGATTTAATTATAAAATAAATTATATAGAATACTTAGAGAACTCTCCTAAACTTAATATATGAAAGATAATTGTTTCATAAATAAAATAACTAACTACATATCAATATATAATTTAAAATAGCAGAAAAAATATAAATTACTTTGAAAAAGATTCTCAACCGGTATTAGTCTCATTATATAGCATTATATAGATAAGTGCTTTAGATTTTGGAATATTTATATATTTGCAATTGATTTGATTTCAATAAAAATCTCTAAATTACAAACATAAATTTTCAAAAAAGGATTGAAATTCCTCACAGTTATTTTGTTATTTTGCTTGACAAAACTTAAAGTAAGGATGAAGTCATTACAAGTTAAGTTTTTCTTCATTTTTTGTATTCTGTGCAGTAGAAACTACATTTTATTTTACAGGTTAAGAATTGTTTATCTAAAATCCCAAAAATCAAAATCATCCAAAATCTGAAAGTTCTTTAAGTGCTGACAAGTGATGCACCACAAATGGAAAATTCCACAAAATACTGTGAATGTTCCAGTGTTTTCCTCAGACCCCTTTTACTGATCATCCCATCTGGATGATAAAATTACTTTTCATAATTAAATAATTTGCATAAAATTGAAGTTTTAGCATCAATTAACACTTCTAAGCAAATATATGTCCCACAAATTACTTATTTATAATTAAAACTTTAATGAGAAATCATAATGTAGAGGGAAAATTGTCAGAAACTTGATTTTCAAGGTGCAAGTTCAACCACATTAGTGTTGAAAATAAATCTTCAACAGATAGCAAGTACATGAATTTAAAAGCTTTTTTTACATTTGGGAATTAAGAATTATTCCCAAATGTAAGAATCAAATTATTCATGACAGTTTAAAAAATAATTTTTTGAATTTAATTCTTAATTATTTTAAAAATTTCCAATATACTGAACTGAATGTCTTAAGAGAACAATGGGACTTCTCCAAAAAAATGTATTTTTTTCCAATATACATGCTTTTTACAGGAAAGAGTTCCTCTTTCCCCTGTAAAGTGACCTACACATACACCATAAGAACATGAATCCCTCCATGAACCAGAATACATCAAAATGCAACTTTGAATATTCCTACATACAAAAAGAAATGGACTACTACACGACAGGCCTGTCTCTTCTCTGATATGTTATTTTGGCTATTCCAATTGTCCATCTGTGTGCAATTTTTCTGTAAAAACAAAAGAGATTGAATAATTAATACAGTAGAGCATCGATTATCCGAACGCTGATCAACTGAAAGTATTCCAGTTGGACTGTGTCGTGCTGAATCGAATGTTTTTGATACTAGATTAACTTCTAAAGTATAATTTTTTGTTTGTACAAAATAAAGAAATAATTTTTAATGATACAATAGTCAGGATTATTATTATAAAAATTTTCGTTAAGCTTAACATTGACGAAAATTCAATGCAAAGCAACACACAACAGAGAAAAATTTAAACATGGGATATATTAATATAGTATATTAGTATATCCCAATAATAGTATATTAATAATGTATTTTTTCATACATAATTGGTTATCTGAAAAATTTTTCAAATCCCAGTTCTCAATTGATTCGGATAATTGACGCTCTACTATAATCAGAAACAAGCCAAATCAAACAAGCAATTATTTATTGTGACATTAAAAATTGCAGCCCAGAATTGTGACAATCAATCATATTTTTAATTTAATTTAATATATATGCTCTACACCTCAAATTAGTAGTGGCTTGCCTCTGTACATCATACTTTTCCTCTAAAAGCAGTTAATAGATGATAGGCACAACTATTGTTAAAGGAAAAGTTTTGAATTGAAATAGTATGACTTCTGGTTTGCATCAGAGATTCATATATAGTTAATCAGGGCCTCCTGCCCATAAGGCTTCCATCTCCGGTCTTGGATTTCATCTATCTAACTCTGTTCTTGAGATTAAGGAAAGATAGACAGACAGATAACATTGGGAATTTATAAGTCTGCAATTTGAAAAAATTGTAGACCTATAAATTTACTTCAAGGAAAGGCAAAACAAGTACCAGCTTGAATCTGTTAGTTGTTTGTCTACTCAGTTTCATCATTCATTGAAATACATACATAAAAAATTTTAAGGATGGACGATTATAATGAATAGAAAGAACTGTAGATAAATACAGACAAATATGGCAAGAACTGTATTACTCAACATGTAACACAGGATAATAAACAACTTGTAGGATTTTACAAATCAAAGATATAAAAATGAGTCCTTTGTGAAAAAGATACATATGGTAGTTGGACATAGATGAATAATGGATGGAAACTATTTACCAAATACCCAGGCAGAAACCACTCAGTATGGAATATGTTCACCTCAAACTGCAATGCAGTACTCAATGTCATGATAAGGTCTTCATTGACTGGATTAGTAACTTTTTTCTAGCTATCATCACTAGCAATTGTGTTCACCCTTAAGTTCTGGACCTGTGTAAACCTTCAATAGTTACTAGCAACTTGACTCCTCTACTACTCCAAGTGAAATACAACATACACAGACCTGTGCCAATGATGATGCAGCAACTTCTGAATGATGTTACATCATTTTCCCCATGATTGCAATAATTTTTATGACACCATAAGTTTGATCAACTGCAAACAATCAATGAAGGAAGTTGAGTAATATTTCAGAGAAGTATAGTACATTCAATAAGTAATAAGCAGTGTTTTTTTTTATTTTCTTCAGTCAAAACTTACAGATAACAAGTTACAGAATACTGTAACTATGCTCTCATTCTTTCTACATACAAAATGATAGGGAGATTATTATATTGCTGAGAGTCTAAATAATGTTTCGAGCATTTTTGCAAGTTTTCATGCCAATAAAAGGGAGTTTTTGGTATTACAACAAACACTGCAGTGAAAAAGGAGACATCACCACTACATTTTATTATATGGAGATATTAACACCAGTCTCATATATGATAATATACTTCCTACCATTGTCTATTAATAATGTGCTGTACAATAATCTTCAAACATAAAAGAAATGAAAGTAAATATTTTAACTATTTCATCTCCTGTAAATTTCATATTTTGGAGAAGCCCTCTTGTTACATATAACAATTGAATATCTGCAGGTAACAGTAAACAATCATTTTCCAACATCACTTCTCTGGTTTCTTATTGTTTATATCACAAGTTTCTTTCATTAGCTATGGAAAGGGAATAAACATGCAGTGAAAATAAAGTTATAAATTAATAATTATAAAAACACACTAAAAAATAGATGAGTTAAAAATAAAGTTTTTTAAACAGATGATAATGTGCATTTTCTCTTCTTTGAACATTTGTTTTAATAATTGTTAATATAAATGTATAAATCCACATAATTTAAAATTGTCTATACGTTTTACTTTATATAACAATTGTATTGATTTGAAAAAGTCACACTGTTACAAACCACATGGTCTTCAACAAAAGTTTCTGTAAAACTTACTAATTTCATTTTCTTAAACTTCAGAAGTATGCTTTATCTATTTGCCCAGTAAAGATTCATATTGCAGCTTATTTACATGTTGTTATTGAAATCCCTGAGCATATTTGTCAATTATTATTAATTATAATAATTTGACAAATATGATGATAATGCTAAATTTTTTTATTTCTATTATTAATATAATTAATGTTTAACTTTTTCATATTTAGCAAAATTTTTTTAATATACAGTCGACCCCCCTATAATTACGATTCCTATAAAACTACGAAAAAATATACGTATTTTGGAAATGTTGAGTCGGATTAGTGTAGAATCGATTAATTTTATGGAAGAAAACCTTTCAATCAGCCGTAGTCCGTAAACTTGACACATGTCGGGCTGTGATTGGAATGACTTGTAAGAAATTGGATTCCTAATAAATTGGAACGTATCTATATCTTATAGGGGGGTCGACTGTACAATATGGATTTGAGAATTGATCATCATAGTTTCTGTATGCTATAGGGAATAAACTTAGGATGAAAGTGAGTCAGTCACATCTGTACAGAAGTTTCTAAATAGTTCCCTGAAATATTATGTAGAGGAAAAATGTTCTTAAACTTAGTTTTCAAGGTGCAAGTTCAGCCACCTATATTTCAGCCAATAACAACTAATGAGGTAGAAAATAAAATTATTCTGATAGACACTCATCATAAAGAATAGATTGATTTCATAGATACATGGATAAATGGTTTTTAAGAAAAATTGCAATGGTAGATGAAATCTTTTCTGTGGTGCAGACATGTTTTCTAAAGCCTAAAAATACTATTTGAAAAGCCTTTGTCAATTTTTCAACTTGCAATTTATAAATCATACCACTGCATTTCAGCAACCCTACTTTCAAACAGGCACAAAATTATCTGTATTTTAAGATCAATGATCTCACAGATAATGTAATTGAGTGTTTCTTTAATTTTTTATCATCTATTCATATATTTCATCTGAACAAAATTATTACTCTAAATGGTAAAATTTGTAACTGAATAATTTGAATCAATTAATACACACATACTTTTTTCACAAGTTTTATTTCACTTTCATTGCCTTTAAACAAAATTCCTGTCAAAATGACTTTATAAGTTCCTCATTGAAGATTGCAAAAACATCTTGGCAACTTTATACATCTTAAAGTGGACAAAAATGCCAATAATAAAATCTTATTTTGAAATTCCCCTACACCAATTTAAATCCACAAGCTGAAATATCAGTGGATTGTATGTTATCCATATTGACAGCCACCGTCTAATCGGTTTAGTTATATCTTAGTTGTACGGTGCATCACTGTGTCGATAATGGCAGGATTCCACCAACTTAACAAAAAAATATACAAAAAAAGGTCAACTTAGCCCAAAAATTAAAAACTTTAACATGTCAGGTGCAACAATCTTTGGAAATTAAAAATTACAATAACAAACCAGAAAACAAAATCACAGACTTCCAGTCTATGAAGGTAATTGAGTGATCACACTTTACAAGTGGGGGGAAAAATTGGCTTAAACAAAACAAAAAAATGAAAAAAACGCGAGAACAAGAGGTATAAACTGGAGGCAACGGACGATCTTTAAATGCGGCACGAGGCCCTCTTTGGGACAATCAGTAAAACTCTTCTTTGATGCGGCCCCCATCGCCTTCTGAAATAAATCGCTTCCGTCCCCTGAAACAAATTTTATTAACAAAAATTAACATATTCATGATAGCAGATGTAAAATACTTTTATAAAGTTAAAAATTAAATTTTAATTCTAAGTAATTATGCTCAGAAAAGATTGGATTATCTAATTTAAAAGATTTTAAATACCATATTCCTTCAACTTTACAGTGCAACATCAATTTTTGAAATTTAATTTGATAAATGTAACAACACATTAATATAGAATAGATCTATCATGACATTTATTTTTGTGTTTTTTCTGCAAATATAATGATACAATATTAAAATAAATAATTATTGCATCATGAATGAATTTTAAATTACTGATTACATCAGTTACAGTGAACTTTGAGTACAGCTTAGCCAAAATCATTATCATTGATACATAATCCATCTATTGGGTTGTTCGGAAAGTAATTTCGTTTTTTTACCATTAGATGGATTAGTTGTATTTTTTCCGCCATTTTCATTCTAAACCATATTATCATTATATATTTTGACAGCTAGAATTTTAAGGCTTAATTGTAAAAAATTTTGTTTGATTTTGTGCAATTGTTTATTTTTTGTGTCCCATCAAATATGGAAGATCGAAAGCAGCATTTTCGGCATATTTTGCTCTTTTATTACCGAAAAGGTAAGAATGCTGTTCAAGCGAGAAAAAAATTGTGTGACGTGTATGGAGAAGATGTATTGACAGAACGACAGTGCCAAAACTGGTTTACAAAATTTCGTTCTGGCAATTTCAATATTGAAGATGCACCACGTTCTGGATGGCCAGTTGAAGCCAATGAAAACAAAATAAAGGTACTGATTGAAGCAAACTGCCGAATAACAACACGTGAAATCACTAAGAGATTAAATTTGTCAAATTGAACTGTTTATGATTACTTGAAACAAATTGGTTTTGTTTCAAAGCTTGATATATGGGTTCCACATGTTCTTAAAGAGAGATGCTCTCTTTGGTGGGATTTTAAGGAAATTTTTTTTTGGGAGCTTTTACCAGACAATTTAACAATTGATTCGAAAGTGTATTTGTTTACTCAATGACCATTGAGTAAACAAATTGTGTAATATCGTCAAACAGAAAAGGTGGCCAGAATTGATCAACAAAATAGGTGTAGTGTTTTACCACAATAATGTCAAATTTCACACAAGTTTGGTAACTCGTCAGAAACTATTATAATTTAGATGGGACATGCTATTACGCAAACCATATTCGCCAGATTGAGCACATTCAGATTATTACTTGTTCCGGTCTATACAAATTTTTTCTTAACTGTAAGACATTTATTTGAAATGACAATGTCAAAAATCACTTGGATCAGTTTTTTGTAAGCAACGATCAAAACTTTTATGAATGTGAAATCATGCTACTATCAGAAACGATGTCAACAGATATTTGACCAAAATGGTCGATATATAATTCAATAAAATATTTATTTATTATAAAAATATTATGCTTTTTTCCACAGGAAAAAAACGAAATTACTTTCCAAATAACCCAATATTATGTAGCTGTAGCATGATGGCTGTATGTCTATTTTTAATGCTGCTATAAAATACACTATCTGGCCAAAAGTATCCAGACACCCAGTAGTACGGACTTGGAGAGTCCTCAGGCATATATTAATATGATGTTGGTCCTCCTTTTGCATCGATGACAGCCTGTACATGTCTGGGGAGACTTTCCACTAGTTTTTGACAGGTGGCCATTGGAATTGACTTCCAGGCGTCCATTACGGCTGAAGTGAGTGCTGGCAGTGAGGATGGTCGATGTGGCTGACTACGTAATCTGCGTCCTAATTCGTCCCGAAGGTGTTCTATGGGATTTAGATCGGGGCTCTGAGAAGGCCAGTCCAGTTTTTGAACACCCATTTCATCAAACCATGCCTGCGCAAGTCTCGATGTGTGAATGGAGCAGTTATCCTGATTTACAATCAGTTATCCCTCGCTTTACAATCTGGCAGTCCATCGGACTGCCAGATTGTAAAGCAAGATTCATCACTCCAAAGAACACTTTTCCACAGGTCCACAGTCCAATGACGGTGAGCTTTGCACTATTGCAATCGACGCTTTGCATTCTGGGGAGTGATGTTCGGCTTGTGAGCGGCTGCACAACCATGGAATCCCAGGTTTTTTAACTCTCGACAAACAGTCCTGGTGCTAATACTAATGCCTGATGACCTTTGGAACTCCTGAATGATTTCAACCAACGAGGACATGCGACTTTGTTTCACTATCCTTTTCAGGGTTCTAAGGCTGCGTTCACTCATTTTCTTCGGCCTGCCACATCGTTTTTTCCACTTTCACTGCCTTGACGTTTCCACTTCACAATTACATCACTCACAGTAGATTTTGGCTTCTGTATAATGTCTGAAGTTTCACGAACTGATTTCCCACAAAGGTGGATCCCACTATAATGCCACAATCAAACTCACTAAGCTCTTTTGACTTACTCATTGTCTCATAAATGCATAAATATGACCTGACAAAACACTACCAACACGTTCGTATGCTTCAGTTACGCATCAATGACCATCACCTGCCAGACCCACTTCTTTAGGAGTGTCCGGATACTTTTGGACAGATAGTGTATGTTACATTTGCAAAGATGATGCAAATGTAACATATTTTATACTTTTCTAACTCATTTTCCTAATTCATTTTGGAAATTGAAAAATATAGTAAATATAGTAAATATACATCCACAACTGCTGTAAAAGATTGGGCTATAATTTGGATATAATGATTGTAATTAGAAATGAATTTGACACTAGAGGGAGGCATTAGGCACCATTTCATATTTAATTAAAAATTATAATTATTAATTTTAATAATTTAGATTAAACTGGAAGAAAAGAATCGGCCCGAAGCAGGACTTGAACCCACAACTCCTGCTTACTGTGCGGATGTGTTGCCCATTACGCTACCCGGACCTCCAGTCCTGGTAGCGTAACTGGCAATTCATTTCTAAATATAGTGATAAAAAATGTTGCTACTATAAAAGTTATTAAAACAAATCTTTTTAAGAAGCTGAAAAAAAATCATGCTAAATGTTAAAATTACTCACATATTCCGATAAATATATTGGTAATTATTATAATTTGAGTTTATAAATACATATAATCAATGAATGAATATCAGCAAGTTTTAAATATTCTGCAAATGACATTTGTCATAAGTACTGACACATTAAAGTTAAACAACCATTACCATTTCACCCACTACAGTGGGTTTAATTGTGTAGATGAATTGAGCATGATGACACATCCCTTGCAGATCTTAAATATATGCATATGCATGTTTTAATAAAAAATTAAAAGTAAAAATTTCATGAGATACCTGTGTTTTAATAAAAGTTCATTGTTCACATTCAATATCACATTCAGTAAAATATTCCATTTAATGTTAATCTTTTTTCTATTGAAAAAATAAGACCATTATGTGTATGTCAATTAAACCTATTTATGTATTTATGCCTATTTTAAAGCAATCAGAAAATTTAATATACCATCACAAATTCAAGTGCTAAATTTGTATTTTAACAAAATGCCTTCTATTCCAAAATTTATATTTACTTAGTGGATATTATTATTCATTAGCCCATGATTACATGTACATAAAAAAATTGTGAAAAACTAGTAGTAGAAGCAAACATTTTTCACCAAACTGACTTACTTAGCTGTGCTTCCATGCTACATGCTATCCATGTAAAAATTTTGGTCAAAAAATTTTTTTCTGCTTATCACAGGTCCACAAAAACCTGTTATGGAAAATTTCCAACTTATGCATGCAATTGTGTACAATTTTTCTTTGTTGTCACACAGTTGCATGCATAACATCCAATTTTCGTTTGATGTCATTTTTGATGTCACGTCACCAAAAATGACATCATGGAGATCTATCACAAGTACCACAAGAGATGATAATCATCCATGACATTATGCTTAACTAGATATGTATGATGTAATCAAATGCATGGTCTGAAAGTTGCCACAACTTTGAATGCTTGACTCCATAACATGTCCTGTGGGGCACTATGACTTTCAACAATTTAAATGTTTTCACAGCTTTATTTCATGCCAGAAAATCAGAGAAAAACATTTTCTTGTTTTTCTAAGAAACACCTCAGACTTCCTGTCATTTATTCCCAGTTGAACTTTGTTTAACCAATGTTATCATGAAATTTGAAGGTCTCCTTATGAGAGAGGGGTCAAGGATACTGGTTCTATAAACAAAACAGTATCTCAAACTGATCAATGTAAAACATTGAAATTTGACACTTGTAGAGAAGACATCACACAGTTTTGCAGAAATAACAAATTCAAGGAGTGGCAATTACATGCAGCATAATTAATGTAAATTGGCATAAAACCATCATCTTAAGTACGTGATCATGTGGAAAAAAAACTGCATATAATTATGGGTTCCTTAATTTTCTTGTAATGATTTAACAATATCTTAAACAATACTTTTCTTACAATACAATTTAGCTTCAAAATAACATCTTTTAAATATAATCTTATTACGATTTTTAAAGATTATTTAACTAACCTTGATGGTATATTCTTGACAAGTTCCTGAGGTAGAAAACCACAGTTATGGCACTTATTTACAAACTTTTCAAGTATTACATATGCTGGTGGAACATCAATGCAGATGTCAGCCATCTCATTATAGACCCGTTCAAAACCCTATTGTTAGAAATGCAAGTAATATGATAAAATAGAAAAAGCATTTAATATAGAGAAAAATCTGATTCTACAAAATATTTTTAAAACAAATCATAAAAAAAGAAAACTTGTATATCATTGAAATAATAATAAATTTCCATTCTAATATATTATTATCATTATTATCTTATTATTTATTTTTTGATACTTTTTGCTCTGTAGACACTAAAAACCTTTTTTGGTGAGGGACAAGACCCAACATATCTGAGACTATCACCCAAAAATTCCTGAAGTTTTTCAAATTGAATTTCAATCCCAAGTCCAGTCCCTCAGAGCCTAGATTGATGCATTAACTCCCCTGGCCATCCAGCCATTCACTAATATTGTATTATTGGGAACTTGAATAAGTTCTCGCTGGTTTTTCATGAAAATTAATGTTTATTTTAAAAAAGTCATAAAAAACATGTCACTGAAAATATTGTTCATTGCTAGCCACTACTTTCTCCCATCATTCTGGCAGCATTTGAATTCCACGTCGGAAAAATGACATATCTTTTGAGGCTATCCAAGAATTGACCCATTTTTTTGGCATCTTCATAAGAATGGAAGTGCTGCTCAGCCAGGCCATGTGCCATTGATTGGAATAAGTGATAATAGGAAGGGGCAATGTCTGGTGAATAAGGCGGGTGGGGGTAGGACTTCCCATTTAAGTGTTTCCAAGCAGGTTTTCACTGGTTGTGCAATGTATGGCCGAGCATTGTCATGTTGCAAAATCACTTTGTCATGTCTCTGTGCTCTTGTGTGAGAACCAAGCATTGAAGGAAAAACAGCCATTATAGCGGCTGTTTTTCCTTCAATGCTTGGCTCAAACGCATCAATTGTAGTCGATAGCAATCTCCTGTGATGGTTTCATTCAGTTTGAGCAGCTCATAAAAACTAAAACTACACCAGCTGATCCCACCAAATGCAGAGCAGAAGCTTCAAACCATGGATATTCGGCTTTGCCAATGATGTTGATGCATGACCCCATGATTTTCTTTGCTTATTGTAAGGTATCCACTATACAATAAGGGTTATTGTAGTGTATCCACTTTTCACCACCAGTCACGATACAATGCAAAAAACCTTTCCTTTTTTGCCGTTGAAACAGCTGTTCACACATGAAAAGATGCCGTTCAATGTCTCTTGGCTTCAACTCATACGGCACCCAATGTCCTTGCTTTTGAATCATTCTTAATACTTTCAAACATTTCAAAACTGATGAGTGATCAACTCCTAATGATTCTGCAAGTTCAGCTAGCATCTGACATGAGTCTTCATGAAGTAATGCCTCCAATTCTTTATCTTCAAACTTTTTCATTGTGCCAGAGCATTCTTTATCTTCAACATCAAAATCATTATTTTTGAAGCATCTAAACCAATCTATGCATGCTGTTTATGATAGAGCCTTAGGTCTCAACAAGAATTCTGTGTGCTTCAGCTGCAGATTTTTTTGAAAAAAATAGTGAAATAAAATTCCCTGCAAATACTCTTTTCTTGGTATGAAACTCAACATGCTTAATACAATGGAAAAAAAAGTTCTTTATACTTTGGTGAAATGACATATACCAAATTTCAAGGTTGCTTATCATACTTCCTTACAGATGCGTCACCATCAAAAACTACACACATGCAGTACTGGTAACACCATCTGTTGGAAAACAGCAAGAACTTATTCAAGATCCCAATACATATTATTTATTGATTCTACAGATAAAAAATATAGTTAATAATAATTTTATTAAATATATTATTGTGATTAGATCTATTTACAAATCAATACAAGTTAATGTATAATAAATCAGTGTTGTTAAATTATAGAAAACACTACCTGAAAAAACATTTTAAACTTACTGAACAAAATTTTTTCAATGTATATGGTGAATTCTGTGTGTACAACACTAGCTCATTAAAATTTAGTATAGCCTGAATTTTAATGAAGGCCATGATTCTCTCATGCACTGTACCATAAAGATGTTAATCCAAGCCTTTTCAGCTGAGCTCGCAATTGGGAATTAAGTACATGGTTAGGAAGTGATTTTGGTTGTCTTCTAATCATTCCATGTGTGATCAATAGGAGACAAGTCTGGGCAAGTCATGTAAGGATAACAGGAAAAGCCTGCCTTGTGGAATTGTGGAGCATGGGCATCATTTTGCTGAAAATGTGCAATGTTTATGTTTGCCAACAACTGAAGTAATTAGATTTATCATATTGTCTACATAATATATGAACTTTCACTGAATCCCTCATAACATAAGAGAAGATTGAAGAATTCTGGGCTACGACCTAAAAACTATAGACAGTGTTTCACAATATGTACCTTTCTACTTTCAATTTTTATTACTGAATAAAAAACTAAAATTAAATGATGAAATGACTTAATAGATTTAAAAACAAATAAATTAATGTAAAAAAATTTTTAAATGCTAATTGATACAACTAATGTATTATATCATAGTCACTTGACTATTTGTTTACCATAATAGAATAAATATTTCAATTATTAAAAAATGTTAAGAAATTTGTGAGGGGGGAGTGTGTATTATTCCCAATCAAGGCCACACTATTACCTATTTTCAAAAAAATATTTTTCTTCATTTAGTGTGTTATATTTTGGCTTCTTTATGGTCCGAGCACAACATAATATATCAGTCATCATAGGTGCTCTTCATCTGTTGATGTAAAAGCTAGTATTTATGTTTTTATGTTCCTATAACAACACTTAATACTTAATTTAAGCATTGACACACACAAACTTTTATAATGCAGTCTTTTAATTCAAAATTTACTAACATTTTTGGCCATTTTGATGAAGGCCTTTCAAAATGGCCGAAAATGTTAGTAAATTTTGAATTAAAAGGCTGCATTATAAAGGTTTTTGTGTGTTGGTGTTGGTTCCTATAACATTATGTAATTACAATTTAAACATAAAATTAATATTTTTAAATCTTAAGATGGCCATTATTATTGAAATATGACTGAAATACTATGACCATTTAAACTTTAATGAAATATATTCATTAATTATAATTTATAATTGCAAATTAAATTTCATTCAATTCTTTTAACTTTGTTCCAAAGTCAATTATATTAAAAAAGATTAAATGTAACCTACATTTTTCATTTGATCTGGAGAAATGATAATACTTGAAGACAAAAAAGTTAACAATTTGCACATTAAATCCATGGCACGTTCTCCCATATCTTCTATCACCATGACAACTGCCTGCCAGAACAAAGTAAATATTGATATCATAAGTTTCTATAGTTTTAGAGCTAAATTAAGAACTATTTGCCAGCATTTTCATTGAAAACTTTTATTCCTTTAAAATTTAAAAAAAAAAAAAAAATCTTGATTTAAATTATATTATTGAGACAATATTGAAAAATAACTATTATTAAAAATTTAATTTCAGTATTAAAAATGAAATTAATTTGATCACACATTCAATAACAAATATCACAATACAAAACAAAGAAAATACAGTAATTTGAAATACTGGTTAATAGGATTCTTTCAGACTTAAATATTAACATTTCCAAATGTTTAAGTCAAATTTGTGAGTTTCTTACAGATTTGATTATATTTAATCTGTAATGTCATAAAGGAAGGGATTTTTAGATTGAAGTAAATACATATATTTCTTTTAAACTTAATTGTTTCTTAATGAAATATTTACTTTTACCTTTAGTGCAGTGCACATTATATTCAGCTATTGCACATTGTGTGCATTGACATGCTTATACTGTAGATTATATTACACTTATTAATGCAGTCCAATGCATAACAATGGCTCATCATGAAACTATTATTCTTGAGAAATTATTGATAGAACTTGAAACAGAAGATCAATTAAATATTGATTACCCAAGGCCAGATGTACAGCTAAACAATGAAAATGAGGATATAGGAATGATTCAGCTGATGAAAAAGTGGAAAATTTTCATCAGATGCAGCTCCTAAAATATCTAACTTAACTCAACTTTGTGACAGAAAGCAATCTACCATAAGGATATTCTTTTTAAAATTAATTTGCAATAAATTAATCATTATAAAATACAAAAAATTATTCGATATTTTTTTAGAAAGAGTCTATAGCTGTTCCCTTTCTATACAAAAACAAAATGCTGAACAAATCTTTTGCATTCTACAAAATTTTAAAAATTTTATAGTGATAATATAGTTTAATTAATAATTTTGTAAATTGTATTTTAATTTATTCATTTTCACTTAAATAATAAAATTTATCTTCAATAGAATATACTTGAAAGAAATGAATATAATTCTTCAGAATATTTTATTGTTCATATATATTTGACCTAAAATTCAACTGTGTCACTAGATTTTTCCACAAATTTAATATCATAACATTGTGGATAAGAAAAATTATCTAAATAAAATTAACTTTAGAGATTTTACATACAAGAATGAGTTCTCTAATTTAATTAAAATTGAAATTATAAGCATTATATAGACTGAAAACAAGATTTATGGAAAACAAAACCTTTAGCAATAAAACTTATAACTGATCAGATATTACCTGTGATCAAAAAGTATCAGGAATGGTTCAATAAAACACAAGATTTGGATTTATTCATCGACATTTATTTCCTCTCTTCAAAGTAATCCCCTCTCACTACAATGTACTCTTATGCCAACATTTTTTCCAATCCTCAAAACATGCTTTAAAGTCATTTTTGTGAAACCTCTTCAGGACTTTCCATAAAACAAAATTTTCTGCATCAATCAATTCAAAATGGTGACCATAAAACTGAAATTTTAGTCAAAGAAACAGGAAAGTCATATGGTGCCATATCAGGTGAATATAGAGCTTGCAGAACTGTATTTGTTAAATTTGTGGCCAAAAATTCACAAGCAACAAGAGCACTGTGAGAAGATGCATTATCATGATGTAAAATGCAAGAGTTTTCTCACCAGAAATCAGATCATTTTCTACAAATTGCTTCAGGAAAATGACACAAAACACTCAAATAATATTCTTTGTTGACAGTTTGGCCAGTTGGAAGGAATTTGTGATGCACATCATCACGACAATCTAAGAAAACAGTCAACCTAACTTGGTTTTTGACTGACTGTGACATAGGTTTTTAGGTCTTTCAAGTACCATTCACTTGATTGTTGATCTGCTTTGGTGTTAAATGCTTACAATCACTTGTAATGATGAGTTTTAAGAACAATTCACCTTGAGAAAGAATTTTCTTGGCCACTCAAACATGTTATTTTTGGAAAAATTCAAGTATTGTGAAAAAAGTTTGGAAAAATCTCTGACAAGTATTGGTTTCAGTTGAAGTGGATGATCTACCAGAGCATGGTTTCATCTTTGATGCATTTTCTGCCTTCCTTGAACATCTTGTACCACTTAACTCTTGTTTTTGATAGATTGTTGTCACAAATTCTTTTGGCACCATTTTCAATGTTTTTGTAGCAGTAATTCTGTTGCAAAAACAAAATTAATGCATGTTGTTTGCTCAATTACACTCAATATTTTGAAAAATCACTGGTGCAAAAATTCTTTACAGACAAAACAAGTGTTTGTTTGCAAATGAAAACAGACTATGACAAACAGATTGCTGCCAGCTGTCAATGAAAGTCATACAAAATGATAAAGAGAACAACAATAATGCCTTTTGCACACAAAGTTTAAATGAACCATTCCCAATACTTTTTGATCACAGTAGTATATCATTTAAAAATTTCATTGATATTCAAAATGAGAATGTAAGATTAATTTAAAATACATATTTTAAAAATTTAAATTAATATTTATGAAAAAATACAGTAAACAAAAATCTCAAGAATTACCTCATATACAAGTTCATGATGAAAATGTGGAACCTCTAATTCCTGCAGACAACGTGTTGCTTCTGCTATATCTCCAGATGAGAGATATTCTTGAAGAAGCAGTTGTATCTAAAATTTATAGTTTGAAAAGTTAGATATGAAATTAACTAAATTAACAATTTCAAACTTCATTAATAAAACTGAATTTTGAATAGGTGCTTGCATAGTGTACATAAAAATTATGAATCATTAGTAGTAATAACTAACTTAACAACAACAACAAGTCAAAAATACTTCATTTGTCAATTTTATTTAAATACTTAAGCACATGAAGTAAATATTCTGAATCTCTTTAAAAAGAGGAATGAATATATTTAGTATAAGACATTTTAAGTTATCTATTTCTTTCTGCACAGAAATATAATGTGTTGTTGAAGTTGCTAACTGTAATTACTTATGAATATATCAATGATTGCAGCCAAGACAAGTTTATTATTATTTAGAAATAGTTATTTTTGTAACAAAGAATTTAAAGTAAGTATTAACTTTTTTTATTGCAATTTATAGTCTGTTTTTGATAAACATGATTTTTTAATCTTTTTCTTTGGCATTAGAAGAACTAAATATGAGTTTTTTTATTTTTATTATAAAAAAAAACAGTAATGCCTTTTTATTGTGCACCTCTTTTTTAAATTTTTAGTCATTAATGGTCAAACAGTTGTAATTCCCAATTAAGACAAAAAAACAAAAATCAAATACTATTATAGAAGATACTAGACATACTGCCCTCTACAATTTTTTGTTTTAATTTTAGATTATCCATTAAGAAGGGCATTAGTAGTTCCATGTTAGAGTCATTAAGAATTGCACATTTAAACAATTCATGAAACGGACTTTATTGTTAAACAAATATTCATAATTTATGCAGTCTTTTTTTGCTATGATAAATCATTAATGCTGTTGCTTTGTAATAAGTGTTAATTTTGACAATAGGCTTACTTTTAAACACTATATTGACAATATTATAAAGGTTTTTGTTGTATTCAGAGAGTTAACCCTCCTGATATTGCATTTTCTTATTTAGGTTCTTCAATATTTACAAGACAGGGTTCTGCATTTTGTAGAGTACTACTTATAAATTTTTTAATGGTCTTATTCCCCCATTATATATATATATATATATATAAAATTACTTGTTTTGACTGACTGACCATCGCACAGAGCAAACCGCTGAACCTAAAAAGGTAAAATTTGGTACACAGGGTATGTCATAAAAATGCACACTAAGAAGGAATTTTTCAAAATCCCCCCATGTGGGAGAGGGAAAGGATTAAGGCTTAACCTGAAGAATGGCTTCTACTCTGCTATTTAGATGTGATTTTTTTTTTTTGATAGTAATAACTTAATTTCCAAATGTACGATATTTACCAAATCATCCAAATAATTTGCCCGAGCAATGCTGGGCTCATTTGCTAGTTTTAACGTATGTGTAGTGTATCACTGTTTGACTATATATAATATTTTGATATTTCATTATTTTATATTTTTTTTAATAGATTTTTAGACTAAACATATTTTTTCCATTTATCATGATTTAATTCACATAATTATAGCATCATATACACCCATTTAACTAGATTAAGTATTACATGTCAATCAATTTTATACATTCAACTAAGACTGCTAGGTCCATTGAACATCATTTATTGCAAGGCATTCTTACTTTTAAGAAATATTGTAAGAAGTATTTTTTATATCATGGAACTATGCAATAACCAAGTTTGTATCTTAACTACTATTTTTATACATATACAAGTACATACTTTTTAGCTTTTGAATTACTTGTTTAATTTTTTGTATTTTTTTTATTCCTTTTAATGGGGATTTCACTATGGAGCAGTTATCAAAAATTCATACTGAACACTACTATAATTGAATTTTTATAGACTTACTATCCCAGAGAATCATCTTTGATTTATCAACTCTTGTTAAAAACAGAGGACCTATTATATCTTGACTACTGTAAATACAAACAATATTGTAATCAAGCTCCATGTGTATTATAATTTGTTTTTCTGTTACAGTTGTGTTGTTATATTTTGGGGTTTTTACTTCTGTTTTGTTTTGGGGCAATTTTATTGTTATTTTAGGAGGCTCATTTTGCCTAATCTACATCATCTTGCAAATAAATAAGTAAATAAACTTCTTACAAGATAGTACAAACATGTAGATTCCTCTATATTGTGATCAATAGGGATGGTTCCTCTATATTGTGATGCACTTTTTGAAACTAATAGGCAGTGCTAGTATTACGGATAGTGCTAGTATAGTCTTATGGATAGGAAGCTTCCTGTTTCATCTATTGTACTGTATATACTGTTTAAAAATTGCTTTTTTAGTTATTTAGGTTTTTTAAAATCCCAGTTAATTGTTGTTTGTCTCAGTGCAAATGATAAATAGTTTACAGTAATAATACTCTACAAATGTAAATATATTTTAATGAAAAATTGAATGGAAGGTTATTACATCACACCCAGTATTATAACAGCAAATCATTTTAAACTTTTGAAATCTTAACAGTTCAACAGTTTTGAGCACTAAGAACACAATGCTGAAAAATAATGAACTTTCATAGGCTGAAATTTGAAATATATATGAAGTACGAGAAATACTGGAAAATTTCAGAAAAATAGCTACAATAATTAATCATTCTAAAACTGCTGTGGCCAATATATAGGCAAAACAAGAAAAGTACGGAAAATGAAGAGAAGTGGATGGAAGAAAAAATTAAGTGACAGATATAAACAAAAGGTTTTTCCTCACTACACAACAAGTAAATTAGCAGCTATCTATTATGACAGGTAGCTGCTAATTTACCAAAATCTGTGTCCCTCAGATAATATGATGATGTATTCATGATTACAACAACAATGTATAAAATACAGCAAAATGAAAGTGATACCTAATTTGACACATGTTCACAAGCAACAAAGACTTCAATGGGATAAATCTGTCATGAGATGGACCAAGGAGTAGGAAACAGTTGTTTTCTGATTAAAAAAAAAGTAAAATTTAAATGGACCAGATAATTATGGATATTATTGGCATGATGTGAAAAAGTAAGCCAAAATTAGAATAAGTATCAGTTAGGAGGTGGTACTGTAATGGTTTGGTATGTTTTTGGATTCAATAGGAAAACTGATATTGCCATTTTTGATGAAAAAAATGGATTCTTCAAAATATCAAAATGTTAAAAAATAATTTAATTGCATTTGGACCTTTAATTGGTGAAAATAATTGAATATTTCAACAAGAATGCTCCACTCCAAGCATCAAAATCAACTAAGAACTGGTTTATTAATGAAAACATAAAAAGTGTATTAGACTGGCCTTCTAGATGTCCAGATCTTTTAGCCCAACAGAAAATTTATAGAGTAGAATAACAAAAATAGTTTATAGTCAAAACAAGCATTATTCTCAAGTAAACCAGTTAAAATTAGCAATTATGGATGCTTCAGAAAATACTGAAGTGAAACAATTGCAAAAATCAATTCAAACTATGCCCGATAGTGTGTTTGATGTTATTTAAATGAAAGGGGGTGCAACTAAATATTAAATGATGCAAACTTTTCCAAAAATATAATGTTCTTATAATTATGTTACATTTAAAAATGCAGTTAATTTCAAAAACAGTGTAAAAAGTCTTAATTAACATCAAACATTAATGATTTTAACATTATTTTGTGTTTATTATTATGTATCTAAAATCTCAAAAGAATATAACAAATTGAAGTTGAGTAATTAAAACTAAATTGTTGTCCTCATAATTCTGTTACAAGATTGGAAACAAAAGTCAACAACTGTAAAAGCATCAGTTTATACTTATGAGATATTATTTTAAGCTTGTGTATCTTTCTAAAAGTTCTGTCTAAAAGTACCTTTCTAAAAGTTCATTGAAATATGATATTGTATATTGAATTGATATTAGAATTCTCTCTTTATTACTCTAAGTATCTGTATTTTGTACCATAAGGTATATCTAGATCTCGTAATTAAGTAAATACATATAGTATTAACTATCTTTAATGAAAAAAATATATAAATACCAAACACATTTTAATCATTTAAAAAATTTAATTTTAAAATTTTTTAAAAGATGCTTTTTAACCTATATTCTGGTATTCTTGACATATCTGAGGTTGCAACCTAATGACCTTGACCGGTGGACCCGAGATATCTCATTTCAGCATTGGAACATTTTTGAAACTAGATGTCACTAGTCGTTATAATTTTTATATTAAAACTAACTTCCAAAATATAATTTGTTTTTACATTTATTAATATATCTATTTTGTTTGTGCAAAATAAAAAAAAATAATTTTGGATGATACAATAGCCATGATTATTTTTTCATAATTTTCGTTAAGCTTAACATTGACAAAAATTCAACATGGTGTGACATGCAATGGAGAAAAATTTTAACATGGGATAGGTTAAATGTCTAAAATATTCTTTTAAATCAAATATAAATTTTATCACTTTTCACATAATTATTATACATAAAACAACACTATGAAATTTTAAAATTACCTGTCGAATTAGATATTTCACTGGACGCATTCCACCACCTACACCCCAAACATTATCCAAACGAACCAATCCATGTTTCATGCTAAGTAAAGTATCTGCATGTTCTAAAGCAGCTCTGAAAACAAATTTATTTCAATGTATAAATGAGTTATGTCAATTTTTGGTAACTTTATATAAATTATCAAAATTTTATTATTATATAAATATCAACTAATTTAATTTTGTATATGTATATATATAAACAAATAATCTACCATTATACAATTAGTTATCATATTTTGTGGCATAAAAGAAGGAAAAAGTTTATTTTACTTAATCAAAGGATTGAAGCTTTTTATAGTATATTTTTCTCTTCTACCAATACAACTGCCAATTTGGCTATTAATGAGGACTTATCATATCACAAAGGTGACCAGATTAGAACTTTTTTATTCTTTAAAAATGTACATTTTTGAGTTAATTAATTAAATTAATTAATTAAAGAATAAAGAAGTTCTAATCTGATCAACTTTTTAACTGTCATATGATAAGTCCTCATTAATAGCCAAATTGGTAGCTATATTAATAGAAGAGAAAAATGGAAAAAAATTTCTTAAATACTGTCCTGTGTATATAGGTTAAGTTATGATATTCTGTAGACTATTAAATTCCCCAAATGATTTTCAGTGAGTTACAGTTAATCTCTACCTAGCCCAACTCTTGAATAAAAATAGCATGTTTAATTACACAACATTAGTATTATTATTATTTGCTATAGATAAGCAGATTTTGCATGTTAAATATTTTAATGGTAAACTTTAATTACAATGACTTCTTTTAAATGCCTCTTTTTTCTCTGACAAATAAAAATGTGCATTCTAATTTTACTTTCTTAAATCAGAGTACAGTAAAAAAAGAATTAGGGCAGGTTCCAAAAGGCAAAGTTTGGATTAAATTAAATACACTAAATATTATTTCCTAATATTCTAAGCTAAATGGGAGTGCGTCTTATATGCCATAAAATACAGTCACTTCCCTGAATAACAAACCATTTCGCATTTATATAAATATGGGAGAACTCAGGCTAGTATTTTTGTAATTTCGACAATCCTAATTATTTAATTTTTATTTAAAAAAAAAAAGAGAATATATTTAAGACCAAATTAATAAATTTAATGAAGGAAATTCACAAGATTTTCCCACTGATAACAATTCCTTCATGGGTGACACATTCTGATAAAAACTACTCATCGAAGGAAGTCTCACAAAAATTGGGAACTGGACTAACCACCAGTTCCTTCCATAACCTTATCAAATTTGGGCATCAAAATAACAGGGAAAATAATCCCAAATAATAATAGAGGGAAAAGAAAGTTGGAGCATTCACTGCCTATTTTTGAAGTGTGTGCTCATCCCTGCACTGACCTTCCTGATTTCCTGTCATCTCCACCAGACCTTAGCTACTCTGAGCTACAAACAATTGTTGTGGCTATTACATATTCCGGACTTTTGGATTCAAGACTCATTATAACCAAGCCTTTCCCTCTTCAGGATGTCCAAGCAATTGTCGAACATTACAGATCCAGATATTTAACAACCAGCATATGCAGTTGTAAACACACACTCATATAGGCGTGCAGAAAGTTTTAGACTCTCCCTCTCTCTATTTTTCTTTGTAATTTTTAGTTTCTTAAAAAATAAATATTTGTTGTTTTTATGGTTAAATGCACAGTGGAGTGCATTATTCCTGGCATGCTCTCTCTTGACTCCCTCCTCTGTCCCGGGCCCATTCATTCCCTCATACGCGACTGCTTACATGATAATTATTCAGAAGGTTCCTATGCACCTAGTCACAGGTGGTGTCAGTCCTGACTTGGGCATTGCCGACTTAGCTGTCACAGTGCCAATGTAATGATCACAAATATCTATATAAAAAAAAGTATTCACTTATTGCTTTGACTTTTTCAATTACCTGGCATGTTCACATTCAACTTTTCCTTTATAACCTTGAACGAATTTCGGTGGAAGACAATCATCAGCAACAGCACGTGCTATAAAATTTCCAAGAACCTAATAAAAATAGTTAGTTTAGTAAACAATTTGCTTTTTTAAAAATTAACTACATTTTAGAAATAGATTGGTAAATATTATATTATCTACTCATGAATTTCAGTATCTCAGCAATTCATGAGTAGATAATATATGCACTGTCTCAGCATCTCTCTTTCCCATGAATTGCCATGCTCAAAATCAATATATCACAGGAGATGAGAAAAAGTGTCTTTACACCAGTTTGAAGAAAAGGAAACAATAGATAAACCCTGAGAAGACAACACCTCAACCCAGGGTCAAACTGCACTTTCAACAGAATGCTCTCCATCTGTTAAAATTGTGATGACGTATATTTCAAACTTCTTCCAAGGAATAGGATAATCACAGCTAATCTCTATTGTCAGCAACTGTAATATCTAATAATGTCTAACTTAGGCCATTTGACAGAAATCACTATTAGGTAATCCTCCAATATGACAATACGTGCCCACACACAGTAAATCCTACAAAGTCCACATTTCAAGAGTTTGGATGGGAGATCTGTTCCACCAACATAATCTAATATGGCAAAGTCTGGAGACTATCAGTTCTGGGATCTCTCCAACAAACTACAAGGTGTTTCCTTTGGCAATAACAGAGCTTTAACTTCTTTCTCTCCAAAACACTTCAGTTCTACTACAAAGGAACTGAAAAACTGTCTGAACAATAAGAGGCTGAAAATAGTGAAGGAGACTATGCAATAGAATGATTAACTGAAAGTAAACTAGTGCAAATATGCTACAAACTTATGTTACAACCCAATACATATATACATATACAGTGGTACCTCAGGACACGAACGCCCCAGCATACAAAATTTTCAGGATATGACATGAAATTCGAACATATTTTTGCTCCACGATACGAACAAAAACTCACCATACGACGTTACATTAGTTCGCAGCACCATTTTTTATTCACTTCTGTTCATTGGTCTCAGTCCACGTGTTTGCTTCGTCGTGGGAGGATCTCGCTCGATAAAGGAAATCTTGAGCTATTATCAGAAAGTGACTGATTTTATTGAAAAGAAACACCGTGAAAAGGTTCACAATGGCCGCATTGCTGCTCGGAGTAATGACATTTGCCTAAGTCATTTTAGAAATATTTTAAAAAGTAGGCAAAGCCAAACCTCTTTGGATAGATATTTTACCAAGCAACCTATATCCAGTGAAAGTGCTAATAGAAGTGAAGGAAAGAAAGCAACAAGCAGTGGATAAAAATAAAAATAAAAAAATAAAATAAAACAACACTAATTTTTTAAAATCTTTTCTAAGTTATTTTTAAGTTATTGTTACATTATGTTATGTAAGTTAAGTTTTAGTATCATTTCACTTCTCCCTGTCTTCTGCCACCAATTTACATCTCCACCGTCCTCTATCCTCAAAGATAAAGTGCAAATAAACCTACATTTTTTTAAAAATCAATTATTATTCTATTACGATTATTTATACATTTACAACTACAAAACGCATTTTTCAGTGTTTTCCTTACTATAGTTTTTTTTTTTTTAATGTATTACTTATCTTTAATTTGAGTGTGTTTTTCGTGTTGGAACGAATTATTTGGTTTTACATGTAATCGTATGGGGAAAAATGATTCACCTTACGACATTTTCATGATATGATCTCAGTGTCAAAATGGATTAATTTCGTATCCTGAGGTACCACTGTATATGGGTCGTCTGGATAAGAAAATACAAAGTAGAAAATATTAAAAATAATTTCAATAGGATATATAAATTTTCAATTTCAACACAGATTCATAATTAAGCCTGAAAAAATAAAGACAGATTTGCAAAAACATCTGTTTCTGCTGTAAAAATGCACTTAACCTTAAAAAATATTTGTACAAGAAATATAAGTGTTACTAATTGTTTTATATAAATTATTAATCTCACATTTTATTGTTTTTATTCATTTCTTCTAGAATTTTCTAAAATAAACTTCAATATTTTTCAGAATCCAAAAATTTAGATAAAACATTATAATCCTCATAATGAAATTTTACTGTAAAAAAGTGTGAATTACTCAATTCAGGTCTAATTTTTATAATTTGTATACTTTATTGTACGGAGTTTCTTTTTTATGTAAGTATAAAATGTTCTGTTTTGTAATAATTACAACTTAGTAAAATAGATTCATATCACAATAAGTTGTTAATAAAAATGTGTTATGACCTGTTTACATAAAAAAAATTTGACTGAATTCTCTCCATAAAATTAATGTCAATCAGTCATCAAATCTAAAATCATATAAACTGACACCAAGTACTAATTCTTTAAATATAAACTAAATAAAATGCAACATATAAAATAACAAGACAGCCTATATGTTATCTATGAATAAAATACATATTTAACAATCATGGCAATTTAATAAATTATTCATTAAATTATTATATATATTAATACATGTGTTTAACTTACTGTTGGAGCATCTGGAGTATCTAATACTAAATCAGAAAGACTCTTTAATAATGTGTCAAATCCTTTTGCTATATTTTCTTGAGACAGAATCTGGCCATATAAATCAGAGAGAAGAATTGATGTCATTTCACAATGAGAAGGTTTCCGATCCATAGCAAGTTGAATTACTGTCACAACCAATTTTGGCTTTTGACGACCAAGATTTAATTCATTCAAAGATATCTAAATATAATAAGTTAAATTTATTTTTATAGTGCATATGTTACAAACACACAAATTATATTTTTTAAATAATTTTTTCAAATTAGCAAAGAGATATTAAAAATGTAGATTTTAAATTACTATAGTTACATTATAAATATTAAAGCAATAGATTAAATTAAAGATAATACAAGTAGTGTTAGAAATTAAATATATTTCTGACAAATAAGAAAAAACACTAAATAAATTTTTTATTTTTAAATTAATAAATATGGTGTTATTTTATTCACTTATTCTTTTATCAAAATGTTTTAAACTCTGCTTTAACTCTAGAATTAAACAGAATTTTAGACTTATATACTTAAAGCATACTGAAAACTTGTGCTAAGCCTTGCAATAGAACATTTATAACAGTTTTACATCTTTTTGTGTATTTCTTATGTAATTATTTATATTTAAATCTAATTCAGAATGTTTTTAGTAAATCTTTTAATGTATTTATTAAACTTGTACTTTATCATCTACAGTATTGTGAATTAGGAGTGTAGTGCAAGTAAGTGTATTTTAAGTGAGTTTCTTTTTATACGATATTATTTTATTTTAATTAACGATATTTTTAATGTTCAGGAAGATGTCAAAGAGGGATAATATAAACTTCAATCCAAAATGCATTTGTTATGTTTTTCTGTATGTGAGAAAGAATAATTTGATCAGTTTTAACTTGATATTAGAGTAACTGGTGACCAAGTATGCTAGCTTGACTTATAGAGGATACAACAAAATATACAACAGTTCCCCACAAGTGTTTAAACAAATACTTTTGTGAAATTTTTTATTTTTGATATATCTTTTATTCATTTTTTTCTATTTCAGTTATTTTAAAAGTAAGATTACCATTACTTCCTGGGTATCACCATTTTCAAAGTATTCTTGCAAAATTGGATCAATATTTCTTTCAAATTCTTCTTCAGTTAATTCAGGAACAATGGACTCAAATTCACAGCTTCCCTAGAAATTAAATAACTAGGTCTTAAACATGAATATAAAAATATTAAAAATGTAAATATTGAAAAACAAGATGTAAAGAATAATAAATAAAATTATAATTACAGTACAGTAGACCCCCCTATAACGCTTAGATACGTTCCACGCTAACCGAAAATTACGTTGTAGGAACGATTAAATACATGAGCCAATCGCAGCCCGATAGGTGGGAACTTTACGGACTAAGGCTGTTCGAAAGGTTTTCTTCTATAAAATTAACCNGTGTTTAACTTACTGTTGGAGCATCTGGAGTATCTAATACTAAATCAGAAAGACTCTTTAATAATGTGTCAAATCCTTTTGCTATATTTTCTTGAGACAGAATCTGGCCATATAAATCAGAGAGAAGAATTGATGTCATTTCACAATGAGAAGGTTTCCGATCCATAGCAAGTTGAATTACTGTCACAACCAATTTTGGCTTTTGACGACCAAGATTTAATTCATTCAAAGATATCTAAATATAATAAGTTAAATTTATTTTTATAGTGCATATGTTACAAACACACAAATTATATTTTTTAAATAATTTTTTCAAATTAGCAAAGAGATATTAAAAATGTAGATTTTAAATTACTATAGTTACATTATAAATATTAAAGCAATAGATTAAATTAAAGATAATACAAGTAGTGTTAGAAATTAAATATATTTCTGACAAATAAGAAAAAACACTAAATAAATTTTTTATTTTTAAATTAATAAATATGGTGTTATTTTATTCACTTATTCTTTTATCAAAATGTTTTAAACTCTGCTTTAACTCTAGAATTAAACAGAATTTTAGACTTATATACTTAAAGCATACTGAAAACTTGTGCTAAGCCTTGCAATAGATACACCCATTTAACTAGATTAAGTATTACATGTCAATCAATTTTATACATTCAACTAAGACTGCTAGGTCCATTGAACATCATTTATTGCAAGGCATTCTTACTTTTAAGAAATATTGTAAGAAGTATTTTTTATATCATGGAACTATGCAATAACCAAGTTTGTATCTTAACTACTATTTTTATACATATACAAGTACATACTTTTTAGCTTTTGAATTACTTGTTTAATTTTTTGTATTTTTTTTATTCCTTTTAATGGGGATTTCACTATGGAGCAGTTATCAAAAATTCATACTGAACACTACTATAATTGAATTTTTATAGACTTACTATCCCAGAGAATCATCTTTGATTTATCAACTCTTGTTAAAAACAGAGGACCTATTATATCTTGACTACTGTAAATACAAACAATATTGTAATCAAGCTCCATGTGTATTATAATTTGTTTTTCTGTTACAGTTGTGTTGTTATATTTTGGGGTTTTTACTTCTGTTTTGTTTTGGGGCAATTTTATTGTTATTTTAGGAGGCTCATTTTGCCTAATCTACATCATCTTGCAAATAAATAAGTAAATAAACTTCTTACAAGATAGTACAAACATGTAGATTCCTCTATATTGTGATCAATAGGGATGGTTCCTCTATATTGTGATGCACTTTTTGAAACTAATAGGCAGTGCTAGTATTACGGATAGTGCTAGTATAGTCTTATGGATAGGAAGCTTCCTGTTTCATCTATTGTACTGTATATACTGTTTAAAAATTGCTTTTTTAGTTATTTAGGTTTTTTAAAATCCCAGTTAATTGTTGTTTGTCTCAGTGCAAATGATAAATAGTTTACAGTAATAATACTCTACAAATGTAAATATATTTTAATGAAAAATTGAATGGAAGGTTATTACATCACACCCAGTATTATAACAGCAAATCATTTTAAACTTTTGAAATCTTAACAGTTCAACAGTTTTGAGCACTAAGAACACAATGCTGAAAAATAATGAACTTTCATAGGCTGAAATTTGAAATATATATGAAGTACGAGAAATACTGGAAAGTTTCAGAAAAATAGCTACAATAATTAATCATTCTAAAACTGCTGTGGCCAATATATAGGCAAAACAAGAAAAGTACGGAAAATGAAGAGAAGTGGATGGAAGAAAAAATTAAGTGACAGATATAAACAAAAGGTTTTTCCTCACTACACAACAAGTAAATTAGCAGCTATCTATTATGACAGGTAGCTGCTAATTTACCAAAATCTGTGTCCCTCAGATAATATGATGATGTATTCATGATTACAACAACAATGTATAAAATACAGCAAAATGAAAGTGATACCTAATTTGACACATGTTCACAAGCAACAAAGACTTCAATGGGATAAATCTGTCATGAGATGGACCAAGGAGTAGGAAACAGTTGTTTTCTGATTAAAAAAAAAGTAAAATTTAAATGGACCAGATAATTATGGATATTATTGGCATGATGTGAAAAAGTAAGCCAAAATTAGAATAAGTATCAGTTAGGAGGTGGTACTGTAATGGTTTGGTATGTTTTTGGATTCAATAGGAAAACTGATATTGCCATTTTTGATGAAAAAAATGGATTCTTCAAAATATCAAAATGTTAAAAAATAATTTAATTGCATTTGGACCTTTAATTGGTGAAAATAATTGAATATTTCAACAAGAATGCTCCACTCCAAGCATCAAAATCAACTAAGAACTGGTTTATTAATGAAAACATAAAAAGTGTATTAGACTGGCCTTCTAGATGTCCAGATCTTTTAGCCCAACAGAAAATTTATAGAGTAGAATAACAAAAATAGTTTATAGTCAAAACAAGCATTATTCTCAAGTAAACCAGTTAAAATTAGCAATTATGGATGCTTCAGAAAATACTGAAGTGAAACAATTGCAAAAATCAATTCAAACTATGCCCGATAGTGTGTTTGATGTTATTTAAATGAAAGGGGGTGCAACTAAATATTAAATGATGCAAACTTTTCCAAAAATATAATGTTCTTATAATTATGTTACATTTAAAAATGCAGTTAATTTCAAAAACAGTGTAAAAAGTCTTAATTAACATCAAACATTAATGATTTTAACATTATTTTGTGTTTATTATTATGTATCTAAAATCTCAAAAGAATATAACAAATTGAAGTTGAGTAATTAAAACTAAATTGTTGTCCTCATAATTCTGTTACAAGATTGGAAACAAAAGTCAACAACTGTAAAAGCATCAGTTTATACTTATGAGATATTATTTTAAGCTTGTGTATCTTTCTAAAAGTTCTGTCTAAAAGTACCTTTCTAAAAGTTCATTGAAATATGATATTGTATATTGAATTGATATTAGAATTCTCTCTTTATTACTCTAAGTATCTGTATTTTGTACCATAAGGTATATCTAGATCTCGTAATTAAGTAAATACATATAGTATTAACTATCTTTAATGAAAAAAATATATAAATACCAAACACATTTTAATCATTTAAAAAATTTATATTTTAAAATTTTTTAAAAGATGCTTTTTAACCTATATTCTGGTATTCTTGACATATCTGAGGTTGCAACCTAATGACCTTGACCGGTGGACCCGAGATATCTCATTTCAGCATTGGAACATTTTTGAAACTAGATGTCACTAGTCGTTATAATTTTTATATTAAAACTAACTTCCAAAATATAATTTGTTTTTACATTTATTAATATATCTATTTTGTTTGTGCAAAATAAAAAAAAATAATTTTGGATGATACAATAGCCATGATTATTTTTTCATAATTTTCGTTAAGCTTAACATTGACAAAAATTCAACATGGTGTGACATGCAATGGAGAAAAATTTTAACATGGGATAGGTTAAATGTCTAAAATATTCTTTTAAATCAAATATAAATTTTATCACTTTTCACATAATTATTATACATAAAACAACACTATGAAATTTTAAAATTACCTGTCGAATTAGATATTTCACTGGACGCATTCCACCACCTACACCCCAAACATTATCCAAACGAACCAATCCATGTTTCATGCTAAGTAAAGTATCTGCATGTTCTAAAGCAGCTCTGAAAACAAATTTATTTCAATGTATAAATGAGTTATGTCAATTTTTGGTAACTTTATATAAATTATCAAAATTTTATTATTATATAAATATCAACTAATTTAATTTTGTATATGTATATATATAAACAAATAATCTACCATTATACAATTAGTTATCATATTTTGTGGCATAAAAGAAGGAAAAAAGTTTATTTTACTTAATCAAAGGATTGAAGCTTTTTATAGTATATTTTTCTCTTCTACCAATACAACTGCCAATTTGGCTATTAATGAGGACTTATCATATCACAAAGGTGACCAGATTAGAACTTTTTTATTCTTTAAAAATGTACATTTTTGAGTTAATTAATTAAATTAATTAATTAAAGAATAAAGAAGTTCTAATCTGATCAACTTTTTAACTGTCATATGATAAGTCCTCATTAATAGCCAAATTGGTAGCTATATTAATAGAAGAGAAAAATGGAAAAAAATTTCTTAAATACTGTCCTGTGTATATAGGTTAAGTTATGATATTCTGTAGACTATTAAATTCCCCAAATGATTTTCAGTGAGTTACAGTTAATCTCTACCTAGCCCAACTCTTGAATAAAAATAGCATGTTTAATTACACAACATTAGTATTATTATTATTTGCTATAGATAAGCAGATTTTGCATGTTAAATATTTTAATGGTAAACTTTAATTACAATGACTTCTTTTAAATGCCTCTTTTTTCTCTGACAAATAAAAATGTGCATTCTAATTTTACTTTCTTAAATCAGAGTACAGTAAAAAAAGAATTAGGGCAGGTTCCAAAAGGCAAAGTTTGGATTAAATTAAATACACTAAATATTATTTCCTAATATTCTAAGCTAAATGGGAGTGCGTCTTATATGCCATAAAATACAGTCACTTCCCTGAATAACAAACCATTTCGCATTTATATAAATATGGGAGAACTCAGGCTAGTATTTTTGTAATTTCGACAATCCTAATTATTTAATTTTTATTTAAAAAAAAAAAAAGAGAATATATTTAAGACCAAATTAATAAATTT